CGCGCATCTGTAAGGACTAACACATAAAATGCTTTGCCTTAGGTGAGTTCTTAACCCTCATGATCTCTCCCACATTGTTTGTGTTTAAATATTACTACATGTGGATTATTTGTTTTTACTTCGGAGTGGTAGTGACTCAGGAGGTACATCAGAGATCCACTAATCAGACGATCTGTTGTTACTGCTCCGGCTTCTCCTTTCTACATGTCGAGGTGTCCGCAATCCAGATATTGAAACAAACAAACAAATAAAAAAAACTTCCCATATATTTGTGTGTAGCAGCACAAGTATAATTATCATGAGAGTTTGTGTAAATGGGTGACCGTAATCTTTATGTGTAAGCTTTTTGAGTAATTAAGAAGACACAACTGTATGTTGTCTACTGTTTACACTCATTTAAATGGATGTGTGTGTTCTTACTTCTTAATTTCCCTTTAAATTAATTTGAAAAAAAAAAAAGAAAAAGCGTGAGTATTTGGACTAAAAAAAATGAGACTCAAAATTAATTTTCATTCTCTCAGGTCCTTGATATGTTTTGACAGCTTGGAGAGTGTCCACAAACCCTCCAGGGAAATGAGTCTTGTGACAACACACTTGGCTTTTCCAAAAAGTCAGAGACATTTCTCACATGTAAACTACTAAAGCACTAAATTTAGACACAAATCAGCTGGTATATAACATACCTTGCATGCCATGAAGTGTGGTAGTGGTATCTCTATGCCAAGCGAGTGGAGGTTTGCCAGGTCCTGATTAGCTGAAGTAAATGAAAGGGTCCCAAAATAGAGGGCTGCCCAATCCCGGTCCTCGAGAGCTACTATCCTGCAGCTTTTAGATGCATCCCTACTCCAACACAGCTGAATCAAATGGTTTGATTACCTCTTCAGCATGCCATCATGTTTGGCAAAGGCCTGATAACAAGCCATTCATTTGATTCAGGTGTGTGGGAACAAGGATGCATCTAAAAGCTGCAGGATGGTAGCTCTCGAGGACCGGGATTGGGCACCCCCTGTTGTAGATTATGAAGACAATCAGTGTTGTAGCAATACAATGACGAAGTTGTTTGCGCTCCTCCCCTTTCTCGTAAAATTTCTTCTGATTCGCTGTCAGTTGCAAAAAGGTTTAACATGAGCATCCATCACTGTAATAGTATGCCTATGTATATGGCATAAAAATGTATAAATAGGTCAACTAATTTATTCATGCACAAAGAACTGCACATCAACTCTTCATTTTAATGCTTTCTGTACAAATATCTTACTCAGATCTCATGATTATTGTCATCACAATTACAAATGTTTGTCCCCTAAGTCAATTAGCAAAAAAGACTACGTACTCTTGCTCTAGTGTTTTGAAGGATTTTTAAAATGCCAATGAGACGTTTACCTCGCTGACTAAAGGAAATATATTTGAAGCACTTTGCAGTGACTTGTTGAATTAAAATATAACAAGCCTCGTCTCAGCCAGCGTAGTCAGATGATGTAACCTGCCGCCCTTCATATGATGTGAGAAGGGATGAATCATTTCTTTGGAAGTCAGATTTGTGTCTTAATGAAGCAGTCGAACTTTGAACATTTCTCAGGCCTCAGGGTATTATGGCTCATGCTATACACATATTTCTTCTGCTGTCTCATGTTAATCATGGACTAGATGCAATAGCAGCATGATTTGTATGTGTTTGGTGCCATTGCACCATTTTTAACCCAGTGTGAATATTCTGGTCTCTATATAAACCACTCCTGCTCTGAATGCTAAGTAAAGGTTCACAGGTGTGGGGACAATAGGACTGATACAGACTGGGACTCAAAGTATGATGTGATTACAGACAGAATTAAAGATGGTCACAGGAAAAAAAATGTTTTAATTGGAGCTTTTGCTTCCTGTGTTCTGGTCATCATATTTGTGGATGTCTTCTGTTCTACCCTTTCTGTTTCTGGTAGACCTTTGTTCACTACAGGACCTGACCACTCATGGCTGTATACTGAGTGCAGCAGTCAAATAAGCTTAATTTCCTGACTCTCCTAAATTGCACTTATGTAACTAATTGTGTGTGTGTGTGTGTGTGTGTGTGTGTGTGTGTGTCTGTTTGTATTTGCAGGAGAACCTGCTGCAGTCTGTGTTGCCAGTCTACATCTCCATGAAGATGAAACTGGCAATAATGGAGCGCTTGCAAGACTGTAAAGACAAAGAAGAGCAACAACGGCTCGTCAAAGATAACAACTTCAAAAGCCTCTATGTCAAGAGGCATGAAAATGTCAGGTACAACCGCAACCATCTTTGGGATCGCAATATTATTTTAGATAATAACCTCGTTGTAGAAGCCTCATTTTAGTCAAAAAATGCATTCATTGTTCTGGCAGCAGATATTGGCTGTCCAATCTGACATTTTGGAAATAAGTGTCTGTGGCCTGAATTTGCTCTGCTTATAATTTTTAACACTGACAGATTTCCAGACTAAATAAAAGACTACATTTGTGTAAGCTTAAAATGAATCACTTCAGATGGATTGTGACTCGCATCTAGTGTGCGTGTCTTGTAAAAGACCCGCGTTTTTAAACAGTATTTTATTGTATTTATCACGTTGACTTTGAATTAGAAAGGACTTTTTTAAGTAATTAAAAGAAATGTATTGTATTTTTAATCTAAATGTAAATCCTCAGGCATCACATCTTAAAACAAACAAGGCAAGAAAAAAGCAGAGGGGGAAAAAGCAATTCGAGACAAATTCTCTAAATACTGGAGATTACTATGTCTGTTTTCCGAGCAGTGACCCAAATATAGCTCTGCTTTATGAGGTTTTCATTAATTTAGCAAGTGCTGACTGATATCAGGACAGCTGAAAGCGAAATGATTTTTCTGATACGGAAACAGGACGCCGTTCTCATCTCACGTCACTAAAAGCATTGCAGGTTTTAGTGCAAGAGCAAACTCAATACTCTGTAAAGGCAGTTGTTTTTTAACAATATTCTGCACGTGGACGCAAAATGAAACCGTAATGGCATTAAACACAACAAAACTAAACTATTTTCTTTTTAAGATGTTTGAAGAAATGCTTGAAGATCTATAGAGGTTTTGAATTTTGCAATCAAAGGTCCATTGTGGCATCTTCTTTGCTTCCATGTTCATTTAAGGCCACTGCAAAAAGGTGTTAAATGATAGGCCATGTCATATACAAGTCTCTATAATTACCTGAGTCAGTCCAGTAATTAGCTGTGTTCTCAGTCTCCTGAAACACCTGGCTCACTTCAGTCACGTAGTGGAAGCAGGTGCAGTATCTGTGTTCATCCGCTGGTCACTTACGGCCAGTGTTACTCAGGCCAGGTTTCAACGGTGTCAGTAATCAGCTCCACTCGGTGCATTTGCCTATATGTACACAAGCTATGAATATTTGTGGTTGTTTTTATTAGAGTTTAACAGTTCCAAATAAACTGAACCATGGGTATTCTTGGACATAGTTGATGGCTTCTTTAATAGTTCTCTTCAGTAGTCTTTTCTAAGCCAGATAAAACGAATCACATCATGCTTCGTGCAGGATTAATCACGACTGTTGACATAACCTCTAATATGGTCAGGTGATTGTATTCACTTAGCTGGTGTGAATACAGATACGTTAAGACAATGAATCCATTGCTCTCTTTTTGTTTGAATTCATGCCAAGCTTCTAGTCTTTATTTAGGTGGTGTCAGGGTCTTTAATAGGTCAGATAAGATATCAGTGTTCCTTTGTGGTTTGCTGATGGGTAGTTTTAATAATGCCTGGTCTGTGTTTCAGCATTTGAACCAAACATGCCTTTAAATCAGGTCTACTGAAGTTTAATGGGTGACAGTACAGATATTTTTGCCCGATCAATCCCGATCAGCACAGCCCATAATGGTCACAATGGATCATAATGGGCTGTGCTGAGAAAAGCTGCTGTTTTGGGGCCAAATTTGAAGGACTAAAACTGTTTGAGCTTTATGGCCATTAGTATCCTCCAGTCCACTGCACATTGGTTGATTGTTAACAGAACCTTCATGAAGTCCTTGTCAGCATCTATTGTTAATTGGTTGAGTGACGAAAGCCAATGATGAAAGACAGGATTTGTTGTTCTGCCAGTATTTGTTCTTTTTTATCAGCCTGGGCATGTGAATCGCAATCACATGGGTTTGGCCCAAAGTAAGCTAAGCCTGGTGGTTTTCTTTAGGAATCTCCTCTTTTAGAATTTAAAGGATGGCTTAATTCAGTGGTTCCCAAACTTTTTTTGCTAGGCCCCCCTTTGTTTTACAAGAAAAATGTTCCCTGCCATGGAGGGGCCCAACCCTTTGGGAAGGTCTGGCTTAATTAGTGGGATTCTTGTAGTTTCTACAATCAAAACATCACCAAACAATTTGAATTTTGAGTTATTCAGTCAGGACCACTGTAGTATTAAAAAAAAAAAAAGTTTGACATCAGATGTGTCATTGATAAAGTCAGAAGCATGTATGCATGTAAACTTTGCCAGCTCTAAAACCTATTTTGTTTGATAAATGCTTGTTGCACATGTTGAATGGGTATTCTTTCATTATGTGTGAATATTTCTGTGTTAAATGTTCGTTCACTTAATATCTTTCAGCATTCTGTATGCAGACATTGTCGGTTTCACCCGACTGGCCAGTGACTGTTCTCCCAAGGAGCTGGTCATTATGCTCAATGAACTGTTTGGCAAGTTTGACCAAATTGCCAAGGTGAGTTAAGACATTAAATAAAAATAGCTTTTATATCCAAGTGTCGAATGCCCAAAGGTTGCACAAACACAAAACTTCCATTGTTGACAAATCTCAAACACACCAATTTATTTAGCCATGCTAGCAAACATGCTAACATTTCAGCCTTGTGGAAACAAAATAGAGATCATATACTGTACATCAGCGGTCCCCGACCCCCAGGCCACGGACCAGTACCGGTCCGTGAGTCTCTTGGTGCCGGGCCGCGAGAGTTGAGGCTCGGGTGTGAAATTTATGGTTTTCAGGGTTTTTATTGGTTTTTAGAGTTATTTTTTTTAATCGTTTTAATCATTAACTCAGTTTCCCTGGGTCTTTTCCCGTTTGTTATGAATAAATCTTCTTTTTTTGGTACTGGTACTGGTTTTATTTTGTTGTATTTATCCGCGACACCTTAAAGGCCGTGAAAATATTGTCGGACATAAACCGGTCAGTGGCGCAAAAAAGGTTGGGGAAAGCTGCTGTACATGCTGCAATCTGTCAGATGATTGGCTTAAAACAATCACATAGTAAATCACTTTCTAATCTCATATCACCCTCTTAAAAATTTGCAACAGTAAGTATAATTCTTAAAACAGAGTAGTGCGTTTACAACTGAGGCTACAAGTTTCATCATAAACATTCTGTATCTTTGTATATATCATTGTTTGCATTGGTGCTTGTTCACAAATGGAAGTTTAAGATTGAACTCCTCTCTGACAAAGCTTAGAAAGATCGCCCCCTCTGGCAGGAAGAGTTATATGCTCAAGACCAATTAAATGAAGATGCTAGGGGAGCCATGTTTAACCTCATAATAGTGTTTGGCTATACCATACTCCACATTTCCAGTACAAATGGCTGTTTTATGTTCTGAAATATGTTGTTTTGTGCTTTCTCCAGTATAAGCTTGACCACAGGGGCATTTCTGGGCCCATTTATATTCAACTTGCACTTCAGTATTTGCCTCTTAAAGCACTGTTGGCACTATAGTGAAATAATCTTCATCTCAGAAAATCAGGGTCTGACAGCTGAAAAAGGAAACACTCACTAATTAAGGTCTGACTGAGGCACTTAAGCCCTAATAGGCAAAGCTGTTTTGTGCAAAGTGGCACATTGATTTATTTATTTATTTTGTGAATGACTTATCCGTTTTTCTCATTCTTTAAAGGAAAACGAATGCATGAGAATCAAGATCCTCGGAGATTGCTACTACTGTGTGTCTGGGCTGCCGGTGTCACTGCCTAAACATGCAAAGAACTGTGTCAAAATGGGTCTGGACATGTGTGAAGCCATCAAGTAAGTTTTTCTTATAACAGTCACTTTTAGCTGTTTTTAACGTACAGTTATTTTCAAGGTAGATTGTGTAATGTTTAAATAACCAGGATTTATGCATTAATTATTTATGAAGAGTTAATGTAACGTGTCAGTGGAAGGTATATTAAACTGCGTGGAAGATCTAAGGGGAACATTTTTACCGATTAAAACACAGAAACGTATGGTAGAGATGCACTGAGACACACACACACACATACATCCTTGCAGTGTTATTGTGTTTGGAATTACTGAAAATATAGAAATAATATTAAAGAATGAAAACAAGTTTTTGTATTTCTGCAAAACTCCTTCAGGCAGGTACGAGAGGCCACAGGAGTGGATATCAACATGAGAGTTGGGGTTCACTCGGGCAACGTGCTCTGTGGTGTGATTGGACTTCGTAAGTGGCAGTTTGATGTGTGGTCACATGATGTCACTCTAGCCAATCATATGGAGTCAGGAGGCCTTCCAGGGTAAGGAGCACTACCCTTTTTACCTTTTCTTGTTTCACATTTAATATCGACTCTTAAAGTTGAAGTTACCAGATTCATTTATTTATTTTTTACATTTGACCAGACGTGTCCACATAACAGAGGCGACTCTGAAGCACCTAAACAAGGCGTATGAAGTAGAAGAAGGAAACGGTCACCTCAGGGACACCTACTTAAAAGAGCTCAACGTCCAGACCTACCTAGTCATTGATCCACGGGTAAGCTTTAAGTCCATATTCCTAAAAAACACAGTTTGTGAAGGATGGAGAGAAATCTTTAGCATTTCAAATGTCTCCTCATACAGATAACTGCTGTTAGGATTTTGAATTTTACTAATAAAACAATCATGTTAATCTTGTAAATCATTTTTATATATTTCACTTTGTATTTTGCACACTGTGGGGTTTTTTAAAATTGGATGTTGCTTGCCATATGTCAAAGAACAATACGTGTTGATATTTTAAATCTTTTTTCCCCTTCCCACTATACTTTTGGGTGTTTGTTTCTCACGACCTCAGCAAAGGTTTTTCCTTTTTTCTCCTTGGTGTCTCATCTTAGGTCAGATTTGTCACTATAAAGAATACTGCATAAATGTATTTTTTGTTGCAATTTTCATCTTTTTTTGAGCCAATGGGATGGATTCTTTGAGCTATTAGTACATGATATTCACTATCAAATCTTTGTATGTTCATCTACATCTTAAGTCCTCCCAGAACAACCAAAAGCCCCCCAAACCTCGGGTGAATGATGGTCTGAAGATGCGAGCATCTGTGCGTATGACCCGCTACCTTGAATCCTGGGGGGCTGTCAAACCTTTCGCCCACCTGCAGAACCGAGACGGCTTCACACCAGACACGATTGTCAATGGCAAACCACGTTTCAAGGTAAGGTCGCTGGATTGTACACCATGGTTTATTTACATTATTATCAAGATGACAATGAAAGAGAATAAAGTTGTTGTTTTCTTTGTGGCTTAGAATGGGATTATCGTGAGGTTGACCATGCACACATACATGCTTGGTCAGCATGCAGCAAAGGCAATGAGTGTGTATTACGTGATTTAGCAGAAGGGGATTTTAATGTTATTTCTGAATGTGATAAGTAAAGGAAATCAAACATATCAGAAGTCAGAAAAGCTTATTTTTACTTTCAAAGCATTGAATTTTTTAAAAAGCTTTAAGAAATCAAGAGATTTAAAAATTGATTTTACATGTCTTTCATCAAAACTAAGAAATCATTGTCTTGTGAGAACATTTCCAAACCAAAATGCTATATAACTACAGTATTATCCTCATCTTTTTCAGGATATTCCTTTGCGACCGAGCTCCAAGAACCCTGAGAGGTAAGACAAATCTTCAGCTGCTCCAGTAGCTACAAAATTAATTCACACATGACTCAAACACAACATGAAAGTTGACATCGACAAAAAGCTTTTTCACACACATGCACGCTGGCTTTTACAACCAACCTACTCAGTAGCATCATTATGACAACTGCCTTAAAAGAAAAGAGTTTCTGGCCAGCAAATTTTCCAGCCAGGACATTCTTATCAGTCCATAAACCCTGAAGTCTTTGCAATGTCTTTATTAATACTGTATTATAAAAGACTATATTGAAGCAGTTAGAAGCATATTATAGTTTAACATCTTGCAGATGTTACATCAATGACTATATTCAGCTATACTTATGGAGATTAACATAATACCCTAAATGTATGCATTTCTGAAAGATCTGAGATTTCAGAGTCATTTTAGATGATATCTAAAACACCAAATAGCATCTAGCTTGTTATCCTCTAGAGTAACTTGCGGTGAGCGTACAAGCAGCGTGCTGAATATGTTCTTCTGTGTGTGCTGGGCTTTTGGAAGAGGAATATGGTACCATTCTTGTTTGTTATTCTAGTTGCTCAGCAGCCCTGAAGTCCTAAGACATCTAATATTGATTTTCAGCCTTGTGCCTTGCGCACAGAGATTTCTCCCAATTCTTGGCATACTTTTATGATATTATGTACTGTAAATTATTTGACAGTCAGCATTTCACAATTTTAGGTTATTCTGCAATTGCCCATCTTTACCTCTGAGAAACATCCCCTGTTTAAGATGCTATTTTTATACCCAATCATGTTACTGACCTGTTGTCAATGAACCTAATTGCTTGCTAAACGTACCAGTTACTTTTTCAGCCTTTTGTTGCCCCATCCAAACAGTTTCGATTCGTGTTACTGCCATCACATTCAAAATGAGCTAATATTTTTGCTAAGATGGAACACCTTCTCAGTTTGGACACATGATATGATTACTTTGGGATTTCTTTCTTATTGTGGATAAACTGAGATCTGTAAATGACTGCATTCTCTTTTTACATATATTTTACAAAGCATCACGGCTTTTTTGGAACGGTGTTGTAAATAGCAGATGTAGTAGCATTAGTAGGTCACTTAATATGTAACACAGATGTCTGACGGGCAGTTTATGCTCACTGTTGTCATGCCTTGCCAAAAACGATCTAATTAATGCTTGCAAATGGTGTTGTTTTTATTTTTTGCCCTGTCTTGCACTCTTTGTTACCAGTTTTTGCTCTGATGCACAGTCAGTCTGAAGGCAGGTTGGTCTCTACAAGAATTTCAAGAATACATCAGTCTTGAAGTGTAGAGTTTCCATCTTGGAAATCCGTAGCGAGAAATTGCTGAATGTTTTTATCATTTAGGAGAAAACTCCATTGTGTCAAGCATGAGTAAAAATGTTTATGGTGCTTTGCTAACACCAAAGTTCATGCCAGCTTTGACTACAACTGCCATCATCTCCTGTTAGCGTGGTGAAGCAGTATTTTGGGGAGCTTCCCCTTTTTTTCTCAGCACCAACACTTATTATTTAGGAGAAAACTGCAGTGCGTTAAGTGTGCTTCAAAAGCGAGTATAAACGTTTATAGCGCTCTGATTAGGTCACAGCTCTTGCAAGCGTAACTACACGATTAGTGTTTGTTGATTGGTACAGATTTAATATTTCTGAGAATCACAATGATTCTGTTTCATGGAAGCAAAAGTAGTGCTCGAGGATTCGATTTGACTAACAAATAGATTTTTTTTTTTTTTTAAAGCTGTGCTGCAGTGGTAGTTATTCCTGCAGAGGGGTAGGAGTTCTGAGCAATATGAGTAGCCCTTCCACGAGCTTTAAATAATGCATAACCAAATTGATTGTGGTCATAGCTTTTAATGGTTAATTCTCTCTCCCCATCTGGTGAAGGCAGAATCAAAACAGCAAAGCTACTGATCAGTGGGCAGGACACGCCTACACAAAACAGTGTGGGCTGAAGTAATGTGATTAGAAGAGATAAGTGTGATCCAAGTGCACAAGCATTCCTTCCTGAGAGTGTGTAGGTTTGCTGTATCGCGGAAACTGTCAATTTCATTCATGTATTCACAGTCCAATAAGGCTGAGGCTGTCACAGTGAAATGATCTACACGGTTTTAATGACACAACATGGTAGATTATACCGATCTCTGATTAAAACTGACAGGTGTTATTGCACTACGCTCAATTTTTATCTTAAAATGATTATAAATCCTGTGGTTTGTTTTTGTTTTGTTTGTTTTTTTGGCTCTGCGCTGCTCTGTTGTGATCGATGTATATTTGTGTTTTACTGTTGGACCCCGACAGCTTTGATGAGTCTCTAGAAGAGGCATTCTCCTTACCCGCCCCGCCGCTCGGCAACCCTAAGTGAGTGGAGCCTTCACGGCCCGCAAGGTCCTCAGTCCTTTCAGTGCAGTAGTTCTCAGCCTTTCAGCTTATTCTCCCCAACAAATGCCTCACGTGCGCTTGCGTAAATGCAGACTACAGCGAGCTGAGTTTTACTTTAAATTATGCACTTGCCATGTTTTGTTTTGTTTTCCCAGTCCCCTGCAATCAGTTCGCTTTATGCAGATAACGAAAGAAAAGTTTTAAAGGGGACCTATTATGTGTTTTTATATATATATATTTTTATTAAAGCTGTCACTTTTTACTCATGTATGTTATGTACACATATAAAAACAGCCTTTAAAATTCCGTATGACTAAACTTCAAACACGAGGAACAAAATAAGAATTATTTAACAATTATATTGGGGGTTTTTTTCTTTTGCTCAGCTCACCCACTTATGTTCAGTACTAACAGTAGGCTAAATCGTAACCATTTGTGCTCTCTCTGTGTCTTTCTTGTTGTACTGGAAATGACATATGTGACATATCTGATATCATACATTCTGTGCCACTTGGGAGAGAAGCCAGCAGCGTTGATTTGTTACTCAGTTTCATAATTAAGTGTGCAAGTTTTTCAAAATCTTGAGTGTATAATTCAGTTAGAATACTTGACAGTTGTGAGTACAAGCATAGAAGCTTCACCCACCTGCCATTCAAGCCTTCTGTTTATGAGGGGCCACCAATCGAAAGAAAGACGGCTGGAGATGGTAGGAACGTAAAACGGTGTGTACCAAACAGAGAATAACCTGAGGGGTGGCATCAAGTCCCAATATAAGATAATTAAAAAATGCTTTGAACTCATGCACAGCAACTCGAGTGTAAGAGTAAAAATTTGGACCCGGAAGTGAGCAGAATAGGTCCCCTTCAAATATTTTATATGCATTTTTATAATAATTTTTAAAAGATGATTACTCTAAGTTTGAATGTAATAATTAAAAGCAATGAAATGTTAAAAACTAGACCTCCAGGTTGAGAACTACTGTCTTAGCAGAGAACCTTGCTGTTCTAACACTAACCCGTGCAGTGGTGTAATACGTATTTTCTGACCTTTTCTAACTGCTGCCTCTTTGTAACAGGGCAACATGCGATCTCGGAAGCCCCTAACCTTTTGTTAGTGGACTGACATGATCCTATTAACGCTGATCACCTACTGGGGCTTGTGTGGTAATCAGGGTTTCTGCATCTGTGTGAATGTTTCCTTCCTGATGTAGCAGGGGGTTTCCGAGCAGGAGCACGACAGAAACACACCAACCAAATCCCACTGAGATCATCTAACACACAGATCTCTGCAGCATTACCGGCACACTCCCTTTTCGTACAGTAACACTCTTGCAGGCACAACCTACGTTTCCCTTTTCTCACTAATGCTCAGAATGGCATTAACCAAGTGGCCTCCAACCACAGCTACACTGGACCAGAGTGACCCACATGCTTGATCTGGTTTTCCAGCATCTGTTCCAGTCACTCTACATGTCTCTGTGTTTGTCTGCATGCCACTTCCTTATTGTCTCTGTTTTCTGGTCCAGGAAATCCCAGAAGACTCGGTTTGATGAGGAGCTGCACAATGAGATGACCATTACCATAGACGAGCTCAGCAACAAGTAGGTCGATTTCGGTCGAATCACAATTTATGCAATATTTGTAGCATATTTGATAAAATATTGTAATGTATTGTATTTAACAGGTTTAAAGGAATTGCACAGTGGAGGAACTCCTCTGCTGAATTGTTTCTGATTGAGGTTACATCTTGATCCTTGATGATAAGCCTGACTAATTGTTTACTCTGTTGTTTCCCTGAAATTCTGGATCGGCTGTGTGACCGTTTCTATATGCCAAGATGTTGCAGTTTATTTTTATTCAGCTACTATTGCTTGGTTGTTGGTAATGCTGGTTGTTGATACAACCAACAAAATATTAAAATCCATTAACCCAATTTAAAATTCAGCGATCTGACACCAGCCTGTGTCACAAGCTTTTACTTGAAACCAGCAGCAGCTGAGGCCCTGTGTTGGTTTACCTGCATCCTCTCATGTCAGGTGCTGATCAGAAGTGAGCACAGATGACAAATTTGTTCGCGTTTGGTTCATTTGGTTTGTGATAAGAGATAAGAGATAACTATTAATATTGTAGCATTTATTTGCCATTGCACTGACCTCCACTTAAAGCTGTGTGCAACGTCTTTGTTAATCTTAGAGGTTAAAACATGCAGATTAAGTTAAGAGCCCCCATAATGATCTGTGGTGTTCAGTAAAATTATTTGTTTATAATGAACAGAAATGATGACCTCAGTGTTTTTTCATGTTTTGAGATTTTTTTTCTTTGCCGTTGCATCAAGTTGTTGCATCAGGTGTGATCCAACACAGAGCAGTGCAGCATGTGCCCAGTGTTCACCTTAAAAACAGTCACAATACAGAGCACCTGAAATGTAAATCTCATAGAAGGAGACTGTTAATAACTCAGATTCCACCTTCATTCCCTGCTTTTCTTCTTCCATGCCCACTTACCTCCCTTCATGTGTTGCAGGCAGTGGTACAAGTTTGAAGAGAGCGGCTTAGCTCTGTGGTTTCTGAAGAAAGATCTGGCAAAACAGGTTGGTGAGATTTAATGTTCAATATAAATGACTGCTTCATCATACTTTTACATTTTAGTCATTTTAATACTGAAAAAGAAACATAATAAGTGTCTTCCGCCTTTCTTAGTATCGAGCCCTGGATTTGCCGATGTTCAAACACTACGCCAGCTGTGCCACCTTCATCTTCCTCTGTATCTTCATCATTCAGATGTTTGTTGCAAGGAAGTGAGTATGTTTTTAGTTTTTCGGATATTTGAATATCTGTTCTTCTCATGAGTACAAACTCGGAGGAACAGTTTTTTGAGCATTTGAAAAAGGTTTTAAAGCGCACGACGAAGACGTTTTTATATTTAGAAGATGAGCTGGAGATTGATGTTATTTTGTTTTTTCATTCGTGTCTTCCTAAGGCAACAGAGACTGGCGGTGTTATTTGGAGGGCTGTTTTGTGTGCTGCTCCTGGTCCTGGCGATCTGTTACGCAGGTCACTTACAGGTTTGTCCATTGATTCACATTCAGTATCTGGTTATTTGAGTGATTTAGTACAAGATTCTTTTCAGGCCCCGTTTGTAGAAACCAGGAGAAAAAGCCTTAATGACACAACAACTCTTTCATGCATCTTTACAGTAACATCTAAAACCAAGCTGGATGCTGGTCAAGCATCAGTGATAAATAGTTTCTCGTTTATCTAGAAACACATTTTAATATTGCATATTCTTAACACACAGGTGGTTTGCTGAAGACATTCAATTTAATTTCCTTGTGCATGGGAAGTAGAAGTTTAATGTTAAATTCTTTATAGACTTTTTTTCAACACATGATGATGATGATGATGATGATAAGGATAATTATTATTGTTATTACTTTGTAAAAAAAAAAGAAGTTTAATTTCCCAGTAAGTACATAAATATAATCAAATCAAATTTCTATTTTTAATGTTTTATATTCGCAGCGTTTTTAAGAAAATACCAAGGGGATGGGACAAAAATGTCACAACTTTCCACGTTTCTTAACTTGTCAAGATATAATACAAAATTCCGGCGTGGATCACTCCTAAATTCAAGTCCAGTGCAAATGCAGTGCTTAATTAATTAATTAGAAAAACAAACAAACAAGAAAACACAAAGATTTTAAAAATATGTTTAAAAAAATGAAAATGAAACAATGTATTAGGCAAATGTCAAACTGAATTCATGCTTCTATACCTAAATTCGGCACACTGGACTTCTCTTAGAAGTCAGAAATTAATCAAGCGTAACAATCATTGAAGTAACAATTTAAAAATTGGCATCTGAACCAAAAAATAATGTGTTTTCCCTTTTTTTCCTGTCTTTTTTTTAGCTTATAAATTAGAAAAATCATGAATAGCGGTAATTATATATTGGCATTAAAAATATTATTTTGATTAAAGACCTTGCACATACTGGTGGATCAACCATTACAGAAACGCAGGAATTGATTTTAGTACCCTTTAGTTACCCTGCCCCAGCCCCCGCCCACCCTATTGGCACAAGTAATAAAAGCATGAGTGAAAAGGACTTGTGTTTTTGTGCACACTGTGCCAGAATTAGATGATCTGAGAATGGAAACATGGCATGAAAACTATCTCCTGCATTCACTGGGCGACAGCTTACTATAGACGCCCTTCTGACTCTGCAGATGACATCTGACATTCTGTTCTGGACATGCAGTTTTCTGGTTTTCAACTCGGACAGATTCCTTTCCTTGAAAGAGCCAGCTGTGAATCACTCATGCATGCTGTCTGCAGATAGCTGACTGTAAAAAAGTCACGTTGCTCGCACCTGTTTGATTGCATTTTGTCTTTTTTTCTCCTCACTTCACTGCAGCGCCTGTTTCCGGAGAAGCTGTCAGGTTGCCAGTGGCTGCCAGCTGTGTCAGAGGCAGTGGTTAAACGGCCGTTTGTGCGCCTCCCTCTGGCAACCATCACCACAGCGGTCATCATTATCATGGCTGTGTTCAACCTGGTGAGACTCTGCTCACATGTTGAAGGCTAAGACAGATCCATTTAGTACTCTGGTATTTCTAGCTGTGCTGCACTTCATAAATGTCATGCCAAGCTTCAAAGCATGTTGTCAGGTCGTTGCTTGTCAGTTGTTTATTTATTTGTTTTTCCACTCCCTGCAGTGCTTTGACCAGGCAGATAAAGACGACTACTCTTGCCTTCCCGTGAGTGATAGATTTAATCCCAGACACGATGGTGTATAAATAGCAGTATTACATTTTAGTGTAAAGTGGTGTGTATTAATTGTAGTTCTCCTAACAGTAAAAAATAGAGTGTAGTGTTTTACTTGTTTGCATGCTGCTTATAAATTTGATTTAGGACATTATTTAGATTTGCTACAAGTCTAATTCCATTTTATCCCCTTTTCTGTCCCTCAGTACTCTGTCTACTGCTGCATCCTATCACTCATTGCCTGTGGAGTTTTCCTTCGGATGAGCTTTGAGCTTAAAGTGCTCTTTCTGACTGTGGCCTCTACGGCATATTACGTCATCATTATCAGAAACACGCATACATCCTTTTATGAATACAGCAAAAACCTCAGCACCAAGAAGGACCTTGAAATCTTCACAAATTTGAACTGCAGGTGAGACTGAAGGAAAAGGGTGAATCCCACAGCTTTTCGGGAAATGTATTATTTCCTGTTTTCACGCTGATGACCTGCAAATGTATCTACGTACCTGTGGCTTGTGACCAGTGAAGTTACCGCACCGACAGCAATCACTTTTGTGTTGCTTTAACTATCTCTGTCAGATTCACTTTATGCCACAACTCACACAGCTTAGGCTGTTGTTTATTGGCTGAGTGAAGCACTGGAGACCATGAACTTTGGAGGACTTAATTCTTACTTTATTTACTCTCAGCTTTCTGAGCTCCAGCTCTCCAGCTACTGATCTCTGTGGTTGTCTCACAGGAGTTTGTTTGCACTATTTAGCCAAGTAGTTTCCCCCACTATTTGCCTCAGTAGGGAGACTAGTGAATTAATAAAGTTGAAAGTAAAAAAAGCAGGATTTTGATTGGTGGAATAATCTTTTTGTTTAGATTGTGATATTATCCTGGATATGGTGACAGCCTTAATGCAAACATGCAAAGGTTGCATTTTAGATTGCATCTGCTGGCATCATGTTTTCTTTATCTGAATCAGTGTATGGCTGCAGTGCAGTAATATTTATCATATAACATCAGATCTACTTCAGCCTAATAGTCAAGACCTGCGTCAGAGCAGCCAAAACATTATCAACGAGCAAATGGCTTAAATCGAGTAGTTCAGTGAGAAAGAATATGACAAGAGTCTAAAATATTATAACAATCCTCTCTAAAGTAAATTAACTGTAATTTCATAATGCAAAATAAAATCCAATAAAACAAGCTTAGTGAGTATGACAAAAGAAAAGGCACAGCAAATGTCAGGTGATGAGAAAGTGGCTCAGTGGAAACTGTTCTGATTGTAGTCTTTAAAAGATGGATGTAACCATAGTGATCTTACCAAGGAGTTTGGACTCATTTCGAAACTTTTGTGTTTTATGTTGTGTTTGTGTGGGGTTTTTTTTTTTAAATCTTATCAGAGGTTAGATTGCTACTTCTGGGGTGGTCTATCACACATCATACCATAATCTTAATCAGACAAGTCAATAAAAATGATCTAAGGCACCAATATCTGCATATTTCTTTCTGAATACATGAATGAATCGGATTCTTAATCAGAGAATTATAGCAGAGAATTTTAGTTTACTGTTATGCCACCTTATACTTTTAATCACTAGTGGTCAAAGTCATAACCACTGCAAGTTATTATTTTCCAAGTAAAAGTGGAGTCTGTGATTGGTCATGTTCTTGCTTGTCTTGCAGTGTAGAAATCCTGAAATGTTTAGGGCTGGTAAAACATCCCCAGTATATGAGTTGCATGTACATCACGCTTTTCCTGGTCACCATGTTCATCATCTCGCTGCAGGTAAATGACAGTTTTTTGTTTGCTGAATTATTTTAAAAAAACAAAAAAATTATCTCTTGTGCTGATTTTCCTCTAAACTTGCCATTCCTGTGGATTACAGAACGAGTACTGCTTCCGCCAGGACTTCCTGCTAAAGAACAAGAACCACACAGAGCAGGATGAGATCGAGACGAGAGAGAACTTGAACCGCCTGCTGCTGGAAAATGTGCTGCCGGCCCACGTAGCAGCGCTGTTTGTTGGGGAGAATAAGAAGAACGAGGTGAGATTTCCAAAGTTGATTCTAGTCCCCTGGATGCTATGAAGGACTGGTGAAGAGAGTTAAAAACAAAACATTCCCGTGAGATAACCCCCCATCATTACATACTGAAAGTGAACATGAACCAGGCGGCAATAATGTGACCAGTTATCTGAGGTCATCTTAAAAAAATAAAAAAATAATTGTTATTTCCAGCATGTGGATTTTGGGTTTTAAAAGACTCAAAGAGAGGGACCTTTGAAACATAATACTGTACACAATCAGGGTGCCAGCTGCTTACTCATCAGGTTTTCACTGACACCGAGAACAGGACACAGAAAGTTGTGCTGGACATATTTTAACCTCCTAGAACCTGGCGTAAACATATGTGGACATCACATTTTGGGACATCTAAACCAAAATACTTAATTTTTCTCTACAAGGGCCTGATATCCACTTGCGATTATACTGCCACTGTTCTATCAAAATTTGAAACAAATGTCCTCATATGTGGCTCTAATTTTTCTCAAAAACAAAAATTAGGTAAAATAAAAATCTGGTAATTCTTTGTTTTTACATTCTTTAGGTCCCAATCAGCCCAAACGGCAAAGAAAAATTAAACATGCATGCCATGAAAGAGCTCGGGCCTTAGGAGGTTAAAGTACAAAGTTCATCAGGAGTGGCTACAAGCGGAGATGCCTTTCAGTGTCTTGCTGCTTCATTGTTACACTGAGCATGAATTGCCCTTTCAGTGTTATCACAGTTAGTAGAAGTAACAGGAAGGTTTAAGTATCTAAATGTAGCAATCCCAATAATCTTCATATTTCCTTGGTGAAACAATGCGAAAATGTAAAAACATGGCGCAGGGGAAACGGCCAGCTCCTTAAGCCTCAATGTGCCAGAGGAGTGTGGGTATATAGAGGTGCATTTCAATCATTTACTGCTTGAGTTTGATATAACCACACAACAGAACCCTTTTTAGAGCCATAATTGTGACAAAGTGAAGAATTTAGATAACAAGCTGGCATGCTACTGTCAGCTAGGGGTGGGTTTTGATAATCGATTTATCGATTAAAATCGATTCTGGCTTGGATAACGTGATATCGATTCATTAAAATCCTGAATCCATTTTTTTTTTTTTTTGCCCGAAATGCCAGAATCTCAGGTGAAACCTCACAAAATTTCAACAACCACCAAACAGCTAAAACAGTAAATGAGAGCAGGTACACGGATACCCAGCCCTACTATCAGTGATATGACTCTGCAGCTATCACAGAAAATCAGGAGTGGCAAGTAACGCAAGCAAGCTTCTTGAGTACAGCATGGCAGTAATTATTCAAAAAGAAAAACTACAAACTATATAAGCAGAACTCTATACTATAACTCTACAAATAATCATAACTTCCAGATAGCGTGGCTCCATACAACATAAAAGTAACATGTTTCCTGTACAAGCTTTATCTGTTGGTTTTGTGCTTTTCCCAACAGGACCTCTACTACCAGTCCTATGACTGTGTGTGTGTGATGTTCGCTTCGGTGCCGGATTTCAAAGAATTTTACACCGAGTGCGATATCAACAAAGAAGGTCTGGAATGCTTGAGACTTCTCAATGAGATCATCGCTGACTTTGATGAGGTCAGGAAGTCAAAGTCTTACCGAATATTTGTCTGAAATACAAATGTCAGGGGCTAATCATGAAGACCCTGGCATGGTTGGGATGATAAATGCGCGCACCCCTCATTTTGTTTGTTTGTTTGCCTCTAACTCAACAGCTGTTGTCCAAACCAAAGTTCAGCGGTGTGGAGAAGATCAAGACAATCGGCAGCAGTTACATGGCTGCTGCGGGGCTTAGTGGGTCACCTGGTCAGGAGAATAATCGGGTGAGGTAGTTACTACTTCAGACCAGGGTCGGGCTTTAACTTTAACTGTTTGAAAGCAAGCCATGACCAAACCTCATAATTAGGCTGTGGACTGACATCACTCTGTGTTGTTTTAGGACAGAGAACGGCAGCACGCCCAGATAGGGATCATGGTAGAGTTTGCCATCGCTCTGATAGGCAAGCTAGATGGCATCAACAGACATTCCTTCAATAGCTTCAGGCTTCGTGTGGGTGAGTGTGCAAAAACCTTTAATTCAGTAAATACTGCATTGTGCAGCCTCCATCTCTGTTAAGGCTGGCACAGGTTTCCTTGGTTACTCAGTACATGATTGGCATTCATGTACCGTTCTTGCAGTGAGAGTACTAGCATTCACTGACACAGGTTGTTAAAAGCTCATGCCTATAAAAATAGTCACAGAATTTCTGGAGTTGAGGCATTTTCTTCGTGTTAAAGCAGTTCCTACTTTATGTCAGGTTGAGCCATGCATAAATTACTCAACTGTAATGTGGTGGAGTATTTTTCCTAGTTACCTTAAAATAAAAAAAACAGATCTCACAGAAGAACGCTATATGAGAAATGTCACTGGCCATAGTAAGTTCTCCTGCAGACCCTCTTTTCTTAGTGACAATCTGGGACTTAATGAAGCAATAATGCTTCTATTCTATTGGTTCG